GCTTGGGGTTTTCGGGTTGAGTGCTGTCGCGCCAGGCCTGTAGACCGACAAGACCACTCTTTTCGGAAAGATATTGAGGAAATCCTGGTACGATACCCAAACAGTTAGGCCTTGGACGATGTGTGCCATCAGTCCGTCGCACCTGTTGCGACAAACATTCTTTGGGTATTCCCACTCGTAGAACAATAAAATTCTTGCAAGTGCTGTCGAGACTGCAGTGCATGTTTGAATTTGAAAAAATACATGATACATTAATTCCGCCTTCATTTGTGTCAACTTCGAGCGTTCCTGAAAGGGTCACAGCATGCGATGAACAATGCCAGATTCGCGCTATCGCTCCACGGTGAGCCCCTAAAAGCCGCAAGGGCATAACCTTCTCCCCAAATCCACACGTCAATCTTCGAACTTTGAAGAATCTGCCGCACCCCAAAGCCACAGAACCGAAAGCTTGCAGCGGACTCCCAGCTAATCTAAAGCTTCAGCCCTTATAGGCTGCAGAAGCCCTGAACAGTGAAGCCACACAACAAAAAAACATTAAGGCATATGTGCCATCGACCCTAAACAAACATCATTCAAGCGACAATGTTCAAGCCAATCCTCGAAAGCCGTAAAGCAACCGAAACGGCCACCGCAAAAAAAACACGGAACAAAACCTCAAGCCTTTGCCCGCCTCGACCTCTTCTGAAAAGCCAATCGTTTTCTTCGACTGGCACCAGGGGGAAGGGTTCTTGTGCTGGAACCTGTTGATAGGGTTTTGGGGTCGTATCATCAACGCGTTTTATATACAAGCTTTGCAGGGTTTGGAGCTCCTGGAAACTACGCTCTCTTTTCTTCTATGTGGGATGGACAGGGTTTGGGGGAAACAGTATTTGCGGCTAAAGGTCTGGCGAATCACGGCTTACTTCCGGCTTAGGGTTTAGGGAATTACAAAAGCATGCCTCATTAAAGGCTGCAGCTAGTTTTCGCTCTCCGAAACAAGGTCCCTTTGTGAGTCCCCCTATAATCTGAATAGTCATTATTCATCATTAGGACCCTACAAACTTTGACAAAGGACTCATAGCGTAGAGAACCTTTCCGCATTAATAAGGCCCATGACAAACAAGACTTGCACCGAAACCATCGTGGGCATGTGGTCTACCTAACAGTTGCGTCTGCAAGGTGCGATGAGATCGATGGCGTTCAATTATGAAGATGGATATTTTGATAATTGGGTGATGATGATGATAATAATAATGCCTAGGCCCCCATTGCCAATACGACCTGTCGAACCCAGAACAAGCTTCGCAGTATTGCAGCAGTTTCCGCAAACCAAGAGGCTTTGTTGGCCTGTCCTTCTCAATGCCCCGAACAGGCTTCGGAGTACGGGTTTTAGGGATCAAAATTTAGAGACATAAGTTCCAGATGCACAAGACAAGAACAGGAAGACAACTACCAACCACAGGAATCCCCCAGTCTGCGCCCGTGGTGCGCATACAGTAACTAGGTTCATCACCCAAATGCCCAGAGAACCCCAAAAAACACCAACGACGCCCAACTCACGCGCACACAACGACACTGGGACAACAACCATCCACATCATGGAGTTGCTGTTTGGGGGTCCATCAAGCACCGGGACGAGAAATCACCTAGAGATACCTAGAGTCCGAAAGGGAACTAAAGCCTTAATTCCCTCCAATCAAAAACCATTGATAAAACACCCCTTAATCCAAAAGACACCCAGCAAAACCCGCACAACCCTATAAAGGACCCCCTTTGAAAACCCCGCTGCCTCACCGCTGCTGCGCCCGTTCACGCTCGGTAGGCTCAACTCGCTCGCTTCAGAAGAGCCCTGGTCAAGGAGCCTCGGCTCTGATCTTGTTGGTTTAGGATGGTTTAGGCGGTTTAGGGTTACGGGTGTGTTTTGGGGCTTTAGGATTAATACAGGGGTTGATACAAGGTAACCTGCAAAGACTGTTTGTAGTGGTTGGCCGCAGATCTCACTTATCATACTTATACTGTGATGGACGATTGGACAGAGTACATTCAAACCCTCGGGGCACGAACCCTCAGGCTTTGTCGCTCATGGTTTGAGGTCTGGGGATCAGAAGTTCGGGTCGGGTCGTCACGGTTTAAGCTTTACGAATATAGGGTTTAAGCTTTGGGTTTAGCTTTGAGGGTTGCGGGTCTTTTTTTGCTTGAGCTGCGCACCCTGCAAACGAAGCGCAGGAGACAGCATTCAGGGTTCAGGATNNATGCATGGGATCAGGGTTGAGGGTTTAAGTTATGTAGCGCCAAGCCTTGCAGCATCTGACCTCATGAACTTTAAGGTCTAGCCCGTAGATTGACAGGCAACTTGAGCCTCAAAACCCTCGACCCTACACCGGCTACAACAAACCCTTATAATCCCTAGTGCCCTAAACCCAAACCTCTCTGCCGAAAAAGTGTCGCATTCTGCAACTTCGAGAGGATGCTCGGAGACGCCTTTCGCACACAAAAACACCCCCCCCCCCAAAAAAAAAAA